CCGAGTTCGATTCCAGTCAAGGGCATGTACCTTGGTTTGGGCATATCCCCAGTAGGGGGTGTGCAAGAGGCAGCTGATCGATGACTCTCTCTCATTGATGTTTCTAATTATCTCTCTCCCTCCCTCTCTGTACAAAATCAATAAAAATATATTTTTAAAAATAAATAAATAAATAAATAAATAAATAAATAAAATAAAAACAGATACAGAGACAGAGAAGCATTGGTCGGACTGTCAAACCTCAGAGGGAAGGTAAGAGAGGGTGGGGATAAGGGGGAGAGATTAACCAAAGTAGTTGTATGCATGCATAGAAGCTGAACCAATGAACACAGACAATAGGAGGGTGAGGGCAAGAGTGGGAGGGTGGGGATAATGGGGGGGATAAGGACACATATGTAATACTTTGATCAATAAAGAAATTTTTTTAAATGGGTGCTGGATTTTGTCAAGTGCTTTTTCTGCATCTATTGATATGATCATGTGATTTTTGTCTTTCAGTTTGTTTATGTGATGCATCACATTTATTGATTTGTGAATATTGCATCAGCCTTGCATCCCTGGAATAATTCCACTTTGTCATGGTCTATGATCTTTTTCATATATTGCTGGATCTGATTTGCTAACACTTTGTTGAGGATTTTAGCGTCTATGTTCATCAGGGATATTGGCCTGTTATTCTCTCTCTTTGTAGTGTCTTTATCTAGTGCTGGAATTAGGATAATGTGGGCCTCATAAAAAGAGCTTGGAAGTGTTCCTTCCTCTTGAATTTTCTGGAATAGTTCGAGGAGTATAGGTGTTAGTTCTTAGAATGTTTGGTAAAATTCCCCTGTGAAGCCATCTGAACCAGAGCTTCTGTTTGCTGTGAGTTTTTTCATTACTGCTTCTATTTCATCAGTTGTTATTGGCCTATTCAGGTTTTCTGATTCTTCCTAATATAGTTTTAGGAGATTGTATTTTTCTAGAAATTTGTCCACTTCATCCTCATTGTCCAGCTTGTTGGCATATAGTTGTCCAAAGTATTTTCTTACAATTCTTTGTATTTCTGTGGAGTCACCTCTTACTTTTTTGCTTTTGTTTCTGATTTTATTTTTGGGGGGTCCTCTCTCTTTGTTTCTTTATGAGTCTGGTAATGATTCATCAATCTTTTTTATCTTTTCAAATAAACAGCTCTAGGTTTCATTGACTTTTTATATTATTTTTTAATCCTCTATGTCATTTATTTCTGCTCTAATCTTTATTATTTCCTTCATCCTATTTATTCTGGGCATTTATTTTTCTCTTTTTAATTCTTTAAATTGTAGGGTTAGTTTATTTTGTTTGTTTGTTTGTTTGTTTTTTGAGATAGGCCTGTAGTGCTATGAACTTCCCTCTTAGGACTGCTTTTGCTGTGTCTGAGATTTTGGGTTGTTTTGTGTTCATTTTCATTTGTATCCAGGAAGTTTTTTATTTGTTCCTTGATCTCATTGGTAACCCATTCATTGTTTAATAACGTGCTGTTTAGCCTGCATGTATTGGAATGTTTTGAGTGTTTTCATTCCATTATAATCTAAGAAGATACTTGATATTATTTTAATCTTCTAGAGACTTGTTTTGTGTCCTAACATGTGGTCTATCTTTGAAAATGACACATGTGCATTTGAGAAGAATATATTCTGCAGCTTTGGGGTGAAATGTTCTATAAATGTCAATTAAATCCATCTGATCCAGTGTGCCATTTAGAGTCACTCTTTCCTTGTTAATTTTTTTGTGGACGATCTACCCAGTGAAGTCAGCAGGGTGTTAAAGTCCCCTACTATGACTGTATTGTTGATCTCTTCTCTAGGGTTGTTTTTTGTTGTTGTTTTTTTAAAATATATATTTAGGTGCTCCTATATTGGATACATATATGTTTCCCATGGTTATATTCTCTTGTTTGTTTGATCCCTTTAGTGTTATGTAGTGACCTTTGTTGTCTCTTGTGATGGCCTTCATTTTGAAGTATATTTTGTCAGATATGAGTATTGCTACATCAGTTTCCCCACCCCCACCCCCGTTTCCATTTGCATGGAAATTTTTTTTCCATCCCTTCACTCTCATCCTGTGTGAGTCTTTTGTTCTTTTTTAAAAAATATTTTTTTATTTATTTTTTACAGAGAGGAAGGGAGAAGGCTAAAGAGACAGAAACATCGATCAGCTGCTTCCTGCACACCCCCTACTGGGGATGTGCCCTTAACCAAGGTACATGCCCTTGACCTGAATTGAACTAGGACCTTTCAGTCCGCAGGCTGATGCTCTATTCACGGAGCCAAACCGATTTCAGCTTTGAGTCTTTTGTTCTGAAGTGGGTCTCTTGTAGACAGCATATACTTGGGTCATGTTTTTGTACTGATTCAGCTATCCTATGTCTTTTGATTGGAACATTTCATCCATTTACATTTAATGTTATTATCGATAGGTACACATTTATTGCATTTTAATTCTGTATGCCTACATTTATCTCTCTATTTCTTCTCATTACAGCAGTCCCTTTATAATTTCTTACAGTGCTGGTTTGGTAGTAATAAACTTCTTTAGTCTTCTTTTGGCTGGGAAGCTCTTTATTTCACCATTTATTTTGATTGATAGCCCTGCTGTAACATAATAATCTTGGTTTCAGATCCTTGCTTTTCATTATCTTGAGTACTTCATGCCATTCCCTCTGGCCTGTAGAGTTTCTAACGAGAGCTCCTTTGTAGAAAACAAATTGCTTTTCTCTTGCTGCCTTTAAAATTCTTTAATTATTGGCATTTAATTATGTGGCTGGGCAAGGGCCTGTTTGGGTTCTTCTTGCTTGGGGCTCCCTATGCCTCCCAGATTTGTTTGACTTTTTGCTTCACTATGTTAGGGAAGTTTTCTGCCATTATTTCTTCAAACATGTTCTCTATTCCTTGCTCACTCTCTTCTCCTCTGGCACGTTATTATGCAAATATTGATACAGTACATTACATGCTGCCCCACAACTCCCTTATGTTGTTCCTCTTTTTTTAATTATTATTTTTTATTCTCTGATTGAGTGATTTTATTTCTACCCTGTCTTCTATTTCACTGACCTGATTCTCAGCTTCCCCTAATCTGCTATGTATTCCTTCCAATGTGTTTTGTTTTTGTTTTAAGTTTTGGGTTTTTTAAATATATATACTAGAGGCCTGGTCAAGAATTCATGCACTGATGGGGTTCAGCTGGCCCACCCCTGAGGGGTGGGCCGGCTGGGGTGAGGGGCCACAGGCATTCCATTCATTCTGCTGTTCAACTGATTTGCATATTACTTTTTTATTATATAGGACATACATTTATATATATGTTTGGAATTTTTATATTGATTTCTGAGAGGAAGGGAGAAGGAAACAGAGATAGAAACATCAATGATGAATCATTAATTGGCTGCATCCTACATGCCACCTACTGGGGATTGAGCCCACAACCAGGGCATGAGCCCTGAGCAGGAATCAAACCGTGTCCTCCTGGTTCATAGCTCAATGCTCAACCATTGAGCCAACATGGCTGGGTTATGGGTTGTTTCTTTGTCTTCCCATTTTGGCTGCCCATTTGGATTTGTGTCTATGCTCCTGGTTCACAGGTCAATTATCCTATCTCTGAACTCTCCTACACAACTCCAGTCCTCTGCTAGAGCTCAAGGTGAGAAGCTGCACACAAAATTTTTGTGCATTGCCCATTAACAGGGTACCTGCATTTCCAGCTGTTTCTCCCTGCTGCTTTTTGCAGCCAGATATTATGTGGACACATTTCTCAGTTCTGATGCTCTGGGTTGGGGAACTCAGCTTGGAGTTTAGACTCCAGAGTTCTCGGTGGGAACTCCCTACAGCTAAGATTTTCCTCTGGAACTTCAGCTGCTGTCTGCAGGAGCCTGGTTAGCCTGCTCATGTCTCTGCACTTCCTATTAGTCTCTATGCACTCTCCACTTTCCGTTCCTAGTTATCAGGGTTCTCTTCAGCTAGTCTTAAGTTGATTATTCAAGTTGGTTTTTCTATATTTTAGTTGTAATTCCAGTTTGGTCCTGGAAGAGTCAATGTAGCTTCTGCTTACTCTACTCCCATTTTTAAGATCATTAGGAACTGGAAACTTCCATTTTGACCGAGCAAATGAAATTGACATAGAAATCCAGGATCATGACAAAAAAGATAACCATGAAAAAAATGAGAAAAAACAAGACTTGATTTTACTCTCAGTTGTCTCACACACACACACACACACACACACACACACAAAGACAATGTCCCATGGACACAAGAGAAGCTGAAAAACAGGATGGGATAAAGTATGAAGACATTTAGCTCCACCTACATCTATAGAGAGCTTTCTGGAAGCTGTATGAAAACCATCTTTATGGCACAAAGCCAGTACTCGCAACAATACTCCACCTTTGTGATCTGCCACAACTAAGAAGGCAATGGCTTTGGAAAGCATGTGAATTAGAGCAGCACTCATGGTCCATGAGAAACTTTTGGTGGCTGTAGAAAAATTTGGACATTATTTGCATTTTTTATGTTTTATTGATCCTAATAATAAAACACAAAAAAATATTCTAAGAAATTCTTATATTCTGACTGAGTGACAATTTTCACCTTTACACTGCATAAAATTCATGAAATGTACTACAGTAATGTACTACATTACATCATAATTCCCCTTTCTAGTAACTAAGAGGGGGAAACCAGAGAGGTTGCAAGCGGCTTCAGTATTGTTTTGACCATTACAGCAGTCACCACTCCGTGATTACCAATTCTCATCTGATAGTTTTATTTTATTTGTGTATTGTATGTAGCTGTGTATTTTCTTTAACTGTTATGTTTAATGGCATCAAATAGTTTGACTTTAATAACTATCATTTCTTGTTTGGTTTTAGATTCGAGTAAAATAAACCCACAATGAGTAAAAAAAAGGCAAAGGAATATTTTGCATTTCTTTAGTAATACAAAAGATAATGTAACTAATGACAATAGTAACAATAGTAATATGAGTACTTCACTTAACCGTAAGCTGATCAATGAATCAGTCTCCACAGTCCTCATCAGGCACCATTAGGAAGAACGTACAAACTGGATACAGAGACAAGAAAAAACTCAAAGAATCAAGTAAATAGATTCGAACTACTTGAAATGTGGATTTGTTCAAGAACCTGGTAGTGAGCTGGACCCACAGCTGCTTTCTGCTGTGTGTTCTGAGACTTTATCCAATGATGCCATGAACCTTCGAAACTCGAAAGACATTTGCAACCAAAACACCTGGATTTAGCTAAAAAACCACTTGAATATTTTCAAAGGATGCATGAAAATATATAAAAGCAATGATTGCTGTAACAAAAATGACTGTTGGAGATAAATCCTTATTAAAGGCTTATAAAAAGCCGTATACGAGCCCTGGCCTGTTTGGCTCAGTGGATAGAGCGTCGGCTTGGGGACTGAAGGATCCCAGGTTCAATTCCAGTCAAGGGCATGTACCTTGGTTGCAGGCACATCCTCAGTGAGGGGTGTGCAGGAGGCAGCTGATAGTTGTTTCTCTCTCATCGATGTTTCTAGCTCTCTATCCTTCTCCCTTCCTCTCTGTAAAAAATCAATAATTTTTTTTAAAGCTGTATACGATTGGAGAAGACTTAATTAAGTCTTGCATGTTACAAGCCAGTAAAGAGGTTTTGGGAAAGCAATTCCTATGTCTGCTAACTGAAAGCAATTCCTATGTCTGCTAACACTGTCAAATGCAAAATTGAAGACATGGCTGAAGATATTGAATATCAAGTTATAAAAATGGTGGAAAATTCACAAACATTTTATTCAACTTGATCAACAGACCTAAGTAACAAAGCACTTTTCCTTTATTTTGTGAGGGCTGAAGTGTGAAGGAGAGTTACAGGAAGAACAAACTACTTTGTTCACTTAGCTTGCCAATGGAACAAGTAGCTCTGAGATTTTTGAAGCACTTAATAGTTATTTCCTGGAACACGATATTGAATGGAAAAAAATGTACTGGGATATGCATATACGGTGCCACAAACATGACTTGACATCTTTTGGGAACTGTTGCAAAGGTGAAAAATGTTGTCACCCAGGCATTTTGTCTACACACTGTATTATACATCGTGAGCAGCGTGCGGTGAAAAAAATGTCCCCAGAACTACACAAAGTATTATCAGATGTTAGGAAAACTATAAATGAAATTCCATACAAAGTGCTCAGTTCTCAAATATTTGAGGCACTTGGCGAAGAAATGGGTTCCCAGGATACTCACCTTCTTCTTCACGCTGAGGTGAGATGGCTGTCGAGGGGCAAGATACTAACCCAACTGTTTGCCCTGCGGAATAAGTCAAAATATTTTTCCAGCGGCCAATAATCCGAAATTACAAGAACTCTTTTCTGACGATGAGTGGACAGCCAAGCTTGCATACCTAACAGATATTTTTTTGCTATTAAATGACAACTTACGGATGTGTTCACACTACGAGGTAAAATTGATGCTTTTCAAAAGAAAATATTACTGTGGCAAACGTTGTTGGCAGAAGAAGATCTGCAAATGTTTTCAAGCTTCTATGAATATATGCAAGAGAATGATGTCAACTGGCAGGTGGTAACCATTGTTTAACAGCACTCACTTACAATCACTCACAGAACCGTTTGGTCATTCTTACCCAAAGAAAGAAGATATCAGACTTGGTAATATGTGGATAATAGATGCATTTGCAGCAAACATTGAAGACAGCAATTTAAGCATGAATGAAAAAGAAAGCCTCATCAATCTATCATCCAATAACAGTCACAAAGCTAATTTCTAGTCATTCTTATCATGACCTGATTTTTGGATCTCTATTAAAAGTGAATACCCGGAGAGAATCAAAGATGGCTGCTCGGGTAGGCAACTAGCCGCAGCCGCACACAACAATTTCAACAAAATACAACTAAAATATAAAATGGACATTACCCAGAACTACAGGAAAGTTGACTGACTGGAAATTCTACAACAAGAAGCAAGGAGAAAACCAGAAGGAAGCCGGAGGAGCTGTAAAAGCCCAAGGTACGGAGACACGCGGCGTGCGTGGAGAGAACAGAGCCGGAGAGGAGGGAGGCCGAGTGCCTGGCTGGCGGTCCCAAGCGGGAAGGAGAGAAAAGCTCCTACGGTGCTGGGCCCAGCTCCAACTGCTCTGAACCCCAATTCTAGGCCAGACCCCGGGGACCCAGGCTCATCCATAGGGAGCCGGGCTGTAAGGCGGGACTCTGGGGAAGCGGCGAAAGGAGGTTCCGGAGGCGCGCACACTGCGCGCAGAGAAGGGCCGGCCGGCTGTGCCATGGGATTGCCCTGACAGGAAGGAGACAGGGGCTCCAGACTGCTCTGAACGCCACCTCCAATCCCACTACCAACTGAACTGAACCCCAATACCGGACTCATTGGGGGAGAGCATAGACAGTTTGGCAGCAGGCGAAAATCAAGGGCACCTTTCAGAGGCGCTCGCAACAAGTACTGAAGGACCCTGAGTCTCAGGAGTCGCATAGGGCGGGGCTGACGGAAGCCAAGGCTGTAGGCTCCACCCTGAAACCCCGCCCCATCAGGAAAGCTGCCTGCGAAAATGCCTAAACCAAATAGATCACAAACGAAAGAAATGGAGGACAAAAAGCAACTGGATATAGAGTTCAAAACCACACTTATAAGGTTGTTCAAGAATCTCCTAGAAAAGGCCGATAAAATAAACAAGACCTATGAGGATATGAAAAGGGATCGGCTAGAAATAATAAGGGATCAACAAGAAATAAAGAATACATTGTCTGAAATAAAAAATATTTTATGGAGTCCTAAAAACAGAATGGAAGATCGCAAGAATCAAGTCAAAGATTTGGAACATAAAGAGCCAGAAGACACTCCTCCGCAGACGCAAGAAGGCCAGAGAATCCAGAAAGTTGAAGATAATGTAAGAAACCTCTGGGACAACTTCAAGCGAACCAACATCAGAATTATGGGGGTCCCAGAAGATGAGAGAGAGCAAGATATCGAAAACATACTGAAAGAAATAGTGACAGAAAACTTTCCCCACCTTGTGAAAGAATTAGACTTACAAGTCCAGGAAGCACACAGAACTCCAAACAAAAGGAATCCAAAGAAGACCACACCAAGACAAATCATAATTAAGATTCCAAGAGCAAAAGACAAAAAGAGAATATTAAAAGAAGCAAGAGCAAAGAAGGTAGTTACCTATAAAGGAGCACCTATACGATTGTCAGCTGATTTCTCAACAGAAACCATGCAGGCCAGACCGGAATGGCAAGAAATATTCAAGGTGATGAATAGCAAGAACCTACAGCCAAAGATAATCTATCCAGCAAAGCTATCACTCAGATTCGAAGGTCAGATAAAGAGCTTCACTAATAAAGAAAAGCTAAAGGAGTTCATCACCACCAAACCAGAATTATCTGAATTGCTGAAGGGGGTTCTTTCAGAAGAGAAAGTAAATAAAGATAAAAATTATGAACAACAAATACGTAACTATCAACAAGTGAATCTAAAAACAAAGGAAACTAAAAAAAAAAAAAATCTGAGGAACAATATTAACTGTTGAATAAAATAGAATCAGAGGTATGGAAGGGGAGTGAACTGACGATTCTTGGGGAAAAGGGGAGAGGGGGATGTGGGAAGAGACTGAACATAAACTGTGCACCTATGGATAAGGACAATGGGGGGTGGGGAAAGGGCAGAGGGTGGGGTGAGAAGGGGGGGGAAAGGAACATTTGTAATAATATGAACAATAAAAATTTATTTAAAAAAATAAAATAAATTAAAAAAAAGTGAATACCCATTGTTGAGTGAAAAGCAATGAAAATTTTGATTCAATTTTCAACAACATATTTGTGCAAAAAACATTTTCATCAGTCACAGCAATTAACTCAGTACCAGTCTCAGCTTGAAATAAATATGGCTCTCCATCTTGCAGTAACATCATTGGAGCCAAAAATCCATAAACTTATTTCAAGCAAACAGGAGCAAATATCACACTGTAAAAATGTGTAATATTGATACTTAAATTTATTTTAATGAATGTGTTACAATTAAACAACCTTTGAAGATTTTGTTATGATTAAATAAGTATTTATAATGTTGTTATATTAAATAGGTACATTTCATATTAATAAAATGGAACTTCTTTTTCTTTAATATATTTTATTGATTTTTCTTACAGAGAGGAAGGGAGAGAGATAGAGAGCTAGAATCATCGATGAGAGAAAAACATCGACCAGCTGCCTCCTGCACACCCCCCACTGGGGATGTGCCCGCAACCAATGTACATGCCCTTGACCGGAATCAAACCCGGGACCCTTCAGTCCACAGACCGACGCTCTATCCACTGAGCCAAACCGGTTTCGGCTAAAATGGAAGTTCTTTGACCGTTATTTTACAAATTTTGTGCACTGGGAGGGGGTGTCCATTAGCCCAGCCTGCATCCTCTCCAATCTGGGACCCCTCAGGGGATGTCCAACTGTTGGTTTGGGCCTGATCCCACAATCGACATCCCTCTCACAATCCAGGACTGCTGGCTCCCAACCGCTCACCTGCCTGCCTGCCTGCCTCATTGCCCCTAACTGCTTCTGCCTACCGACCTTATCAACCCCCTAACTACTCCCCTGCCAGCCTGACTGATGCCTAACTGCTCCCCTGCCGGCCCAATCACCCCCAACTGCCCTTCCCTGCAGGTTTGGTCCCCTCCAACTACCCTCCCCTGCCAGCCTCGTCATCCCTAACTGTCCTCCCCTTGCAGGCCTGGTCACTCTCAACTGCCCTCCACTGCAGGCCCAATCACCCCCAACTGCCCTCCCCTGCTGGCCTGTTTGCCCCCAACTGCCCTCCCCTACTGGCCATCTTGTGGCAGCCATCTTGTGACCACATGGGGGTGGCCATCTTATGACCACATGGAGGGGCCATCTTGGGCCAATCAATGATTCTCTCTCATCGTGGATGTTTCTATCTCTCCCTCTCTCTCTGAAATCAATTAAAATATTTTTTAATAAAAATTTTTAAAAAGCAGTCCTCCTCCAGAACTAGTGAACAAAACACTGAATAGTAAGATGGCAACTACATTACTATGTTCAAGTAGCAGCAAAGTCTTAGTGGTCCACAGAGTGAGGCTAAAAACCACAAGGGTGAAATTATATACCCAGCATCTGCATGTTTAAATATTTGATCCACTGGTGTTGGGTAATACTTTTTCCAGAGAAAATAGCTTTTGAAACAAAACC